GTGGCGCTGCGTGTCGTCAGGAAGCAGGGCCGGGACGTGCACCTGCTGACGGTGCGCGCGGGGTCGGACAGGCACGACGAGGGCGGCTCGGAGCACGCCGTCGTGGAGGGGCAGCGCCACCCGCGCTACCGGGACGAGGCCAACGACTGGGACGTGGCCCTCCTGCGGGTCATGCCCCCCTTCGACCTGGACCAGACCCGGGCCGTCGTGCGGCTGCCCGAATTGTCCGCCGGCGGCGACCATCAGAACACCCTCAGCGCCGGCGCCTGGGTGCTGGTGTCCGGCTGGGGCGTGGAGAAAGAGGTGCGTCTGGCCTCGGCTGCTCTGCGAATCAAACTGTGTATCAAGATGATTTAAGTCTTGCAGTTTAAACATAAAAACAAAAACAAATAACAGTTTCCACTGCATACAGGTTGAACTGCACAGCTATATGGCTAGTTTCAACAGTTCACACTGTGTAATTTTCAGTTTTGCAGCTTTTACTGTAAAACTTTGAGCTTTGCCGTTGAAACTGTCATCTTGTTATACGATTGGATTTGCAGAATGTGATTCGATGAGCTTGGGCGCGACTGCTCCAGGACTCGGACAGGCCGGCCGTCTCCCTGAGGAAGGCCAAGCTGCGTGTCGTGAACCACATCGTGTGCCGCCTGCTGTACGCCACCGTCTCGGTCATCTCGGAGCACATGATGTGCGCCGGCAGCGCGTCGGGGAGGGACGCCTGCTCGGTGAGCTGAGCAGCCCGGCTGACCGGCTGAGCGGCCCGGCAGCCACTCCGACCGACGCGCTATCTTGGTGGCCTACCCTCGCGGCGCGGTGCAGAGCGGCTGTTCTCCGCCCCTCCCTCCCTCTCTCTTTAAACTTGTACCATCCTCCGCCAGGGCGACAGCGGCGGGCCCTTGGTCCACACCGACCCGATGAACGTCACCACGCAGTACGGCGTCGTGTCGTTCGGCCGAGGATGCGGCCACATGTACCACCCGGGCGTGTTCACGAACCTGGCCGACAAGAGCATCCGGCTGTACGTCAAGACAGTCAGCGGCATCTAGGGCGAAGGCGTCACGGCACGGAGAGTCTCATAATCGCTGTTTATCTATTGTAAAGTGAATGCATTCTACGTTTCCGCGGGCGCCAGTGAAATCATTGTGAAACTTTGTTTTGATTACGTAGAAAATGACGTCTGTTTCTCTATCAGCAGTAGATTTTCGACATTATTAAGTTGGTTTGCTTTGAGGGCCAATGACTAAATAAATGCCAAATCGGAAATCGTGATGTGTGCAATGGCCTGCTATGGCCGAGGCAATAGCGCAGGGAAAGTTGTCGCATGCTTTATCAATGCAGCACTGGGACACCCTGGCCCCGTCTCCAAACAAACAAAGTCTCCAATGTCTCTCTTTTTCCGGGGGTTAGCCACCTTGGCATGGGGTCTTCATCTCCCCTGTGACGCCGTGTCTATGTCACATCCCATTCCCCTCCGTCCAGCCCGGCCGGGCCCTCCGAGGTAAGCAATGATAGCTTCTCGTCGTGTCATTTACCGTGAACTTTGCCGATGCAACACTATCGGGCGGGGCGGGGCGGGGC